TACAAACGACAAACGCGAGTAGACAACACAAAATTTAAAAAACAGTTATAATACACCTGTTCTATCTTTTTGTCTAAGTTCAGGAGATTAATGTGAGTTGTGCCAGGTTTAATGAATAACTTATAATTACCTAGAAACAAGATTTATAGATAACGTGAAAATGACTAGTGTCTAGGTTAATAAACAACATATAATAATATCAAAGTCCCTGAATTACTTTGAAACGAGTTGCGTCAGTGTTAATAATTAAGAAATGAATAATATCAAACGTGCAAATCTAGAAGTGAACAGTAAAAATATATTAAATAATGGAAAAACAAAATGCAAGTTTTTTTTTAATTATGCAAAAGTAAGGTTTTTGTTTTTAAGCATTCTTTACTCTTAACATATAACTTATATTCATATACTAGATGCACTTGTGCAGGGTCACCGAAAGTGTTCTGTTTCAAGAGTAAAAAAAAATCCTCAAAAGTAACAAATGTTTTTATTTCTCTCTTTTCAAGTTCGTTTGTCATGCTATGTTTTAGCCTACAAAGTGCATAATTCTCGTGATGCGAGTCACTTTAGTGTCTACTGACTGACTGACAACACACTACTTATATTGGTGCGAGTGGTTAAAACAGGTGACCCCTTTAGGTGATCTTCGGCCCCCTTTCGGAGAATAATTGATAACTGAAGCCGTCGGGACTTGGTCAAACTCCATAATTACAGATTTGAGGAAAAAAAACAAAGGCAAATACTTCCTTAATTAAAGACCATGATTTCACCAGTAAAGGCATCATCAGGTACTGACTGAAAGGGTTTGTAAACTGGTTTATATGCTTAACAAAGAACCGGAAGTAACCTTGAAATTCACCTCGAAACAAGTGGGGGAGGAGCTTAAGTTGGTTTGATCGTTTAGAAATTTTTCTGGGTTTGTTTTTAGACTTCTATTTATTTCTAAAATTTCCAGGCTATTTTAGTTTTTTTAACTTTTTTTCTCAGATACGTAAAATCTTGCAGGTTATGTCCGGATCAAATTGGTGTTGCGTTTCAATAAGGTGGGATGCAAAGGTTGAATCCATTTAATTTTTGTTTCTATGGGACGTCCTGTTTGGCCTATGTATACACTACTGCAGTCTTGACACGTTTATTGGTAAGCACCACTGTTGCCGTACTTTCCGATTTTGTCTTTGTTGTTGCACAACATTTTGCCTAGATTGTTTGTACAGTAGAAAGTCGGTCTGTTCAGTATGTTATATATTTTGTAAGAAGGTTTTCCAATGTATAGCTTATCTTAAACCACTTCTTTTTGTTGTCTTTTGGTACATTATGTGGGTATAGTGATTTTAAATGTATGGCTTTTAGTTTTTAAACAACAATGTGTCAATTAAATTTGTTGTATAATCATTGTTGACAGCAATTTATTTTATTGTTTTTAATTTATTTTCGTAATCTTCAGATGACAAGGTACTGCGTAAGAAACTATAGAACACGGCAAATTTGTGACATATTGGATGTCTTGAAGAAGCATGTATGAAGACGTCACTATAAGTCGGTTCTCTGAAAATTTTGAAGGAATGTATGCCGTTATTTATGTCAATATCCAAGTCCAAAAATTCACATTTTCCGTTATCATCAAATTCGATAGTAAATTTAATAAATTTGTTTTATGAATTTAGAAGAGCTACAAAATTATCAATTTTAGTATCACTACAAAATTTCTTTTCTAAATGGGGAATCAGTCGCTAGCCCATCACTTTGTTTATATATTTGATCATTAATTTGAAATAGTTCTGAGCTAAGCAAGTGGTTATTATTATTATTTTTGAATCCCAGGTTTGTACAGGGTTTACTTTTCTTTATCCTTTAAATCATTAATAATTTGTTTACATTCGTTAACAGGTATACTGGTGAAAAGACTACAAACATCAACGGCCCGGCATGGCCAGGTGGTTAGGGCGCTCGTCTCGCAATCTGTGAGTCGCGGATTCGAATCCCTGTCACACCAAACATGCTCGCCTTTTCAGCCGTGGGGGCGTTATAATGTGACGGTCAATCCCACTATTCGTTGGTAAAAGAGTAGCCCAAGAGTTGGCGGTGGGTGGTGATGACTAGCTGTCTTCCCTCTAGTCTTACACTGCTAAATTAGGGACGGCTAGCGCAGATAGCCCTCGTGTAGCTTTGCGCGAAATTCAAAACAAATAAACAAGCAAATATCTGAAATATGTTATTAAATTTACTTTCTTAAAG